TACCAGGTACTGTACCCAGTGGAAAACCCCCCAAAAGAGAACCGTTCCGAATCGTACCGTGCCGTACCATGCAGTGGAAAAGCGCCATAACTGTCCCAACAGTGACACCATGATAAAGGTTGAGAGGCCATTTTCAGCCCATTTTACCTTTATTCAAGTGCATGGCATGACTGTGAGAAAAGACGAAACTGGAAAATAATGTGAAAGGCAGTGCCTCTGTTACACTATGACTGGCTGATTATCTTAGTGTGATAATGCTCATCTATCCTATTCATAAGGGTCAGCAAACTAACCACAATGGGTCAAAGTTTAGGAATGTAGGGACTAATTGTTGAGCCAACCAATGGCTGTAATTTAGCAGCTGTAATATCAGCAATTACGTATATTAACAGTACCAGGAATGAAGAATTAATCTTAGCAAGAACATGATTAGGTACCCTGATCTACTGTATAAAGTGCTGTTGATGTGTTTTGAAAATACATTTTACAGACACTTCACGTCAGTTCACACGGTATTTCATGGTTTAAAGGCAAATGTGACTGTTCCTTAAGGCACATGGGATTTCATGTGCCTTTAACCTGCAAACTGTATAATGTGTATTCCAATATTAATTTCTCCACATTTTATAAGTGTACCACACTTTAGTGGTTTGAACCACAAAACTTTTTATCACTAGCCAAGAACCACTAGCCACTCAATCATGTTTGTGCACCTGGAAATTTTATGACTGAGGAGTGACAAGCATCAACACAGGTGCAAGCACAGTAGCACAGCCAGCTAAGCAATGCTCATTCCCACTACCTTAGGTAACTGAGGTTATGTAGTAACAGAGATGCTGGAAAGCACCTTAGGTACATAGCCTAACAGTCATTGTGCCCAAACTCAAGACAGAAAGGGCTCACTGAGAGCATTTGTAGGTCTCCTACTCACTTGACCAATGCCAAAGCCAGCAGGGAGGTCTTGAGTGAAAGGGGTCTCAGTTCAGCCATCAAAAGTGGATCGAACAGGTGGCCTCTAAGGGCCCTTACTAGTGTTGTCAAAAATATCGATATTTCGATAAATATCGATACTGAAATATCTGAACGGTACCAATACTAATTTCCCGAAGTATCGATACACCGATACTAGCCGAGCTGTCACTTTCACTTCTCTCCAAAGGCGCATTGACAAACACCACAAGTGACCGCAGTGCCTGTCTCGTCTCATTCGCTCTGGTTAAATAGCAAAAGTGAAGTGAATAGAAAGATGGCAAGTGCGGCGCCCCCGCGACCGGCTTTGGTTGATAAAGAACACAGCAGGAGTGCTATCTGGAAATATTTTGGATATGAAACAAATGAACATGGAAAGCCGAAGGACACAAGCAAGCCAATATGCAAGAGTTGCTACAGAGCAGTGCTAACAAAAGGCTCTAACACCTCTAATTTAGCAAAGCACCTGAAAGACAGACACCCGGATCTATATAAAGAATTTCGAGAGGTTGGTAACTGTTCTCATTTTAACATTACTGAAATATTAACCAAGATGGCCTAGTATTGTTGCTGATATGAGTGTTGTCTCGTTTTTTCACCGTAGGAATCTTAGACAAGTAAATACTTTAACTGTGGTCAAATGTAAATTAACTTGTGCTTATTTAACTTTATTCAAAAAATTATTACTTAAATTCTGCAATTTGTCTTCATGTCGATCCAGTGAGCATTGTTTTTGCACGTGATGCACGCACGTTTATGAACGATGAGCAATGCATTTGTTACAGTATATTTTAATCT